TCAAACGGCTGCATAAAAAAACCCAAAGATTCCTGCAGATCAAACATAATACGGCCTAAAAAACTGTTGCAAATGAATTGTTTTCAAGAAAAATTCCAACCTAATTTCACAACATCAAATTATGGGGGAAAAAAGGGAGTCGTTACCCCTTGAACAGGAAAGTGTTAGTTTTGAACCCACAGGGTAAAAGATCAAGGGGAAGACCTCGTGGAGCCTGTAGATGAGTCACAGAAATGGATGTGCAGTAAAGAGGGAAGACAGGGAGTGACATCAAACGACTAGCCCAGGGTAGGGAAAGGTGGAGAGTGTTTGTTCGTGGCCTATATCCTGATCCAGGGTGAGAAAGGCAATGATGATGATGATGATGAACCCCTCCAAAAAAAAAAATTAAATCCCTGGACTCTCCAGACTTCAAAAAAAAATATTTCAGTTTGGGATTGCTGGGGGATGCCCCCCCCCCCCCTCCTCCCGAAACCCCGCGGACTGGTCGAGAGAGTGGGAAAAGATTACTTCGATATTAGTCAGTGGGATTTTGATACAGATTTGTTCATTTCTTATTATCTGCCATGAGAGTGTATAGTTCGATAGTTCGAGAAAAGAGGTGGTCTTCCCTGAAGTGGAGTAAGTACATTCCACAGTTTAAAAAAGTGGCTACTTGCACTGTATGCTTGTGAGGGAGTTGATATTATTTCAGAATGCCCACTTGGTCTACAGGGACAATTTTTGAAAAATATAAGCATCATTATTATTATTATTCGTTTTTTCGCTCCCCATACACCCCTCTCCCCCCATTTAAAAAATGGCGCTCATATGACCCTATGCAGTTGCGAGAGCCGTAAAGCCTCTACTAAAACTAAAACTTTAAAAAAAATGTATTTTTTATACTATCCAGCTCCTGCAGGCGGGTGCTGCCATGTCCGCTCTTGGCATCTACGGAGAGGCGGAAGATGTCGCTGAGATAGTCGCCTTCTACGCCTCCGACGCCGCGAGGCTCATCACAGGAGACAACAACATCAACGACGCTGGCATCAGTCTGCCCTTTCTCTTCAAAGGGCCTCAATGCAAGGATTCCTGATCTCAGTTTCCCCGCATGAAACCAAAGGGATGTTGAGCGACTGAATAGCATTTTGCTCCATTATAATGATGATAATAGGCATGTAACTCGTATCGATGATGATGGTGATGGTGATGATGATGATGATGATGATGATGATGATAGTAATAATAATAATAATAATGGTGATGATAATAACAATGAGAAAGAGGGAGCTGAGAGAGAGAGAGAGAGAGAGAGAGAGAGAGAGT